GGTGTATTTCAGAGGAGGTTTACATCAAACTAACATTGATTATACTGTAAGAGAGATCTTAGAAATGAAGAAACTGAGATTACAATAGCCAACTGCAAGAGCAGTTATGCCATGCAAACATATATGCATGACATAAACATCAATAGATATTAAATAGTTAATTATTGTAACCCTGTTACAGTGTTAATGTGTCATTATAAGAAATTTGGCATCAATACATCATTATAAGAAATTTGTTTGTTACATGATGTTATTGTTTACAAATCATGCATGGTTGAATAAACAAAACATTGACATAATGCAAGCATGTTGAAATTTCATCTAATAAGAGTCTTGTATTTATATGTGTGTTATGCATTCTGATACATTTAACTCTAAATCTAAATCACAGATTCCAGTGAGAAAATCAGAACCATCTAATGTTATATAATAGAGTTGAGATGGGCTGATATGTATCAGATGGTTGAAGGATATGTAATGACAGTGAGATAGTCCAGTGTTATAGTTCCACATATATAAATTTATATGCTAATATTAATAGAGTTCTATTCACAAACGACTTTTTAATTATTACCACTTTGTTTATTACAGTAACAGTTTTCGAGAAAAAGAGGAAGATTTCATAAGTAGTACGTATTAGTATACACTAATACGGGTAAAGCGAAAGTGCGATGCGAAATCTGCAAGTTCTCCTTATATGTTCAGAAACAACTACTACCAAGAATTGCGACTGTTGTATATAACAGTTACGTTGCCATGTAAGCTTTTCATTGCGGTACCTTACGAGAACAAGTTGGGATGTACGGTAATATAATATTAATATGTAACGATTTGCTTGATTCTTCAAAACGCAAATTCGATCTTCGTCAATCGCTAATAATAAATAACACAATAACCATGTAACTTATACGTTTGTTAAGCATAACTTTGCGCAATGTGTGATTGAACCTTTTTATTTGGTAAGCATTGATGCAATGCGGCAACAAATTGACACTAAGTACGGTTTATATTGATTGGTTTGATTCATCAAGGTAAAGTCTCCTAATGTTGCCCGAGTCCCCGACATGGATATCGTACAGACAAGTTGCAATATCCCTCAATTCAGTTTTCAAGCTGATGTTTCGATTCAAAGCAATTCACAGGATCATTATCCTTGATCGCATCGATCGTATAATCCATGCCCTGCTCAAAGGAAAAATATATATGAACACTGGATGATTCCTGAAATATCAAGAAAAAGATAAATGTAGATTACTTACCTCAGAAATAAATAACTCCGGCCTTTGAGTACAACACGTTCTTCGAGGAGAGATTGGATTGCAATCTCAGCATAAGACATGAATTTGATGTCTTTATTATGTTGCATAATTCTTCTACATTGTATGTATAATACCGCGGGTAGGTGTTTATTCCCATTCCTTAGCTATATTGAACGTTTAATCAATTTTACGGAATGATAAACGATATATGCAGAATTACATTGTTGACCGCTCGAAAAAAACCTACCTCAGGCAATTAACTGTTCTGTCCATCAACTATCATCTCTATATGCGTGCACCTTACTCTATTTCATTATAATGAATTGTTGCCAGGTCCAGTCAAACGTCTTGGTGTTTACACGCGAAACAGAGTATGCTTAATGAGATTGTAAGCGCTGCCGGTAAGAATGTCTGGATGTTGCTCACATAACTGATGGGATCAAACTTTATGTTAGTCGACAAATAGATATGCCACCAGAAAAAAATTTCATAGTTTACCTTATCATAATAATACAACTCGTCCATCTCATACATCATCTCAAATGGTATCAATATAAAATACCACATATTTCTCTTTTCATAAAGCATTTTGACGCTCCATAACTATGTCTCAGCCCAGCTCACATTCCTTATTAGTAGGTGAACATCCAACCCTACTTCAGTATGATAGAAGAGCTGACATCTCCGAGTTTAACTCTGAACTGTGCCATTTTAATATGTGTTTTAGGAGAGAGGATAAAATAATCGTTACGTCCAAAGCCACCCCCCAAGGATACCCAAAATCTTACCAACAATGTGCCCACTCCCCCTTTGATAGATAGCATAATCTACTGGCGGAATTTACAACATCCTTTAACATAGTTGGCATTCCCAGTTTCCTTAGTTGTGGTTCCATGCTATGCGGCATCGGCGCATCTCCCAATTTTACCAGTCCCCCTCTGAAATCACTATTGTCTTAGTCACAATAAACCCAGTACGTGCATGGACCGATTCTGTAAACATCTTCTGTGTATGTGACTGAAAGTACTTTTTCCACTGGCGTGTTTGTAAATAACAAACCAACTTTGCCTGTTAAGCATTGAGAAATGAGACGGAGATTGTGTTGATATTATAATTCCGAGCTATAGCCATGACTTTGTTTTTACCCCAGAATATTCTAACGGATGAGAAGAGTATGGAATCAGAATGTATTTGAATTAGTGCTGAGTCCACAAATGCCAGGGTAGCGAGTATAATAAAAAGAACTGGAGAAGTTGGATACGAGGGCTGGCGGAATTGGAAAAATTAGCAACTCACTCGTTGGCTAGTTAAATGGCAATCTAATGACACACAAAATAGAGTTTTATTAGTGAATGGAAGGGTTACAGAGATTTCTCTGGCTTTGGCTCAAGAGCTAGTATTTGCAGAGTATGGCAAATTTGTATGATCAAGTCAATCGTCATAAATACTGTCTAAGCCACAGCTTGTTTCGTGAACCCTAAAAAGATTATCAGCTTCCAGTTTAAAAGAATCTGTAGCTTTGAGTAGTTCAACGGTCTAGCAGTCATAATGCTTGACACACCGTGGTTCACAGCTAACAGCAACCGTTTTTTGAAGCAAGTATATATTAATATGCGTGAGCTGTGAGATGGAGAACTCTGAGACTATTTATTATGTTTCTAATACGAATGTTCTTTCATTTCCTTCGTAGTAATAGGACATTATTTTCTTATGTAAGCGCAAACTTTGCATCGATTCTTGAGTGTAATGTCGTTGAATTGAATTGCTGATATTAATATTAATAATATTGTAAGTGTCAAAGAGTCAATCTCGATAAGTTATTAAGCGACTTACACGTTCAATGTGAGTTTGTTTAATATTAACTGAATTATGATAATATTACATCCCATAGTCTTGTTACTGATACACTATGTTTATGTAACTTTATGTTGTACTCTATAGCATGATCAAATACGAGTATGTATTGACGTTGGTGAGATATTTACATTGACAAATTTACGATCTGATTAATTACAATATATACACTTGTTTAATTACTACTCATTATCAATAGCCGAACGGCACTCGAATTCCATGTGACCCTCTTGTAAGCAGTGACTGCATTTAATTGGGGCAATGCCAACTTGTGGGGTTTGAGCTTGCAACTGACTGATCTCTTCCCTCTGCAATTGTATTTCTTCATCGATAGTCTCTACCATCGTAGTCATCCGCTTGGGCTTCTTATTTAGATTGCGAATTCCAGTAATAAACGGATTTAACCAGGAAGCCGATGGAAGACGTCTCTTGTAAGGACATGCAACTCTTTCATGATCTTTTTCACCACATAATGTACAGAGGTTGTGGCGTCTTATTGCCGCGATCACTGCAGGTTCTAACTCTGTTATTAGCAGACTGCCAGTATTCAGGCAGCGCTTATTTGCATCACTTATAGGAGTTGGAGGGTCTGACAGGACCTCGGGTATCATCTGTTCAGGCGGAGTAGTAGGGCGATCGTATGTGATATCACTAGCGCTTGTTTTGGGTACTGCGATTATTGCTGCTCCAGTCGTGTTGATAGCTGCCTTATGAAGTATTTCTTGGACATAGAGCTTTTCCAGACGATGCTCTCCATCTGGATAGACGTTGAACATGTGAGCATAGCCCTCCTTTGTAAGTCCTATGCAATTTCCAAATAGTCCATCATTATCGTTTGAAGTAATGAATGCAATGTACATTTTCAGGGCGAGCCGCTGAACAGCTTCGTAACGGGATTTAACTGCATGCCCTCCAGGGTTGACATTTTCGTCACTGAGCTCTGAGAACAGAAGATCTGTAATTGCTCGTTCAGATTGTGCAGATTTGATGTGACGTTTGAAATAGTCCTCAGTTAAAATTCTTTGCATCATATTCTGTTTTATGTATTTGACACCAAAGAATTCTAGGGCTTCATCAAATGCAAAATAGTGACATTCCCGTGTAAGGTTTACAGAGCCGACGTGTTGAAGAAGTTGATATAATTGAGGATACCGAGTGATTTCTGAAAGGAAGTGGACTGCTGCTCTGCTGTATAGATGCCTTCCACTACTCGCAAATAAGGGAGCAAATGCAGCTAAGTGTGAAGACTGCATGTCAAAATTTCCGGTTCTAATTCCGTTTTATGTCCCTTCCAAATGCTAGTTAGTCCACTTGTAATAGAGATACCAGGCTTTAACCAAGTGGTTATCACCTTCCATTATATCTTCCTCTTTAAGCTTCTTCTTTATTAGATAATGATGGATTGCAAAGGCTGTTAATGCCCATATCATCTCTAGAACGTTGCATGTTGATCGATAATCAGTATTATGTTCCAGTTTGTCAGTATATTTAACTCCAAGCTCCAAGGCACAGTTGTAAAAGCCATAACTTGAAAAGAGGGTTATAAGTGCACCACACATGGCCTTTGAGGTATGCCTGTAAACCTGCGTTTTTTAGATATAAGAGCGGGCAATACGTTGCATGGGGATGATTTGATCAGGTGATCGT